TATACCAACATATAGCGAGGAAGTTTGGTACGAGTGATTTGTATTTATTAGGAATAAACCCGCTAAAAACTTTGACAATTTCAATCGCCTAGAAAATGTACGTCAGATCATCCTTGTAGGTCAGAAGTTGCATTCGAAGAATGTCTGGTGGTGTGCAACCCGTTTCCTCTCATAGCTAGGATACATTGCAATAATAAAATTGTAAATGTATTGTACAAAATGCTTAATATAAACTGTATAGTGATGAAAAATTATTAAACCCGTGGTTAGAATTGCATATTTTACAGAAAATCTGTAAATGTGTGTGCTGTCAGACACGTAGTATCGTTTCTGAAAGTTGAGCCTGAAAGGGGTGGGGGTGGGATGACAACCTACCTGAAAAAAAAAAAATAATGTGACAAGAAAAAAAAAACATAAATTGTCCACACTTTTAAATCCTATGTCGTTGGAAAGGGGGATCACAGTCAAACGTTATCAATACATTACCCATGATTTAAATATACTGGAACAAAAGTGGGGTAACAATCTTTTCTAGGAACATTTTCAACAGTGAAAAGTTAAGTTTGGAAAAAATTGAGGGGCCAACCCCCCCCCCCCTCCCCCCGATACTACATGCCGAGATGTATCAAATATAAACAAGGTGTCAATATGAATTCTTAATGAAGGATACAACATGTAATCTTCATTATAATGCAAATGTTACATCAAATTATTCAAAAGTTGTTCAGTGATAACTCCTGTAAAACAAGTTTATAGACTCTTTAAGCAAAGCATAGGATCTGAAAATTACATTGGTAACTTTTCTTTCATTTAGAAAAATACTTTTAATATTTCATAAATAAAATCGTCGTCTACCAGTAGAAGCCAGACGATAGCATGATATACCACATAGGGAAAAAAACCCTGTACAGCCTGTATTATTGCCCAAGTTGCTGATGACATCACTATATTCTTGAATGTAAAGCTTTTAATATAAGAAAAAATACACGAATAATATTTATTATTAAATTTATTTTAAAAAGTAGTGTCGACTATAGATGTACATCCAGCCGGAATTCGCGTTGGAGTAAGGAGCAAAAGTGGCGAGGTTACATATCGAGGTCACAGGCACTTGTTTCTGTAATAAATTTTAACCCATATTATAATAATCATTATGCAAAAGGTTAAAAATTTATTGCAGAAACAAGTGCATGTGCTACATTGCCTCTTTCATTAGTCAGCGGCTTATGTACGTACAGGTTGATTAAAAGTACAAAATAATGCATATACATGCATTAGCTGCAGAACTGAAGCTCTCCGAAAAAAAAAAAAAATTGACAGACCGGAGAGCTACAGTGCCACCCATTGAAAAAAGTGGATATTTATTGCGCACAAAAAAGTGCGCTGTTTTATACATGCATAAGACTAGCTGCAGATCTGTAGCTCGCTGGTCAGAAAAAATTGGGATGGATGACCAGAGAGCTACAGTGTCAGGCGAAAAACAAGAAATATTTAAGGCATTTCAGACCTGTTTGCGTTTGAATTTAGTAACACATGGACAATTAGTCTTGGTGATTTCTTTTAAAATAAATCACAATGTATTTTGATCATGAACAACCGTCTTCTTTCGATGTATCAGGCTGAGGACCTTAAGGACCTTATACACAAGGTTAAAGTTTGGGAACTTACACAAGATAAGGGTATTTATAGAAACTGATGACCTTAAATACATACAGTAAAAGTTTGGGGACTTACACAAGATAAAGGATATTTATAGAAACTGAGGACCTTATACACAAGGTAAAAGTTTGGGGACTTACACAAGATAAGGTATATATAGAAACTGAGGACCTCTTACACATGGTAAAAGTTTGGGGACTTACACAAGATAATGGTATTTATAGAAACTGAGGACCTTATACACACAGTAAAAGTTTGGGGACTTACACAAGATAAGGGTATTTATAGAAACTGAGGACTTAATACACATGGTAAAAGTTTGGGGACTTACACAAGATAAAGGGTATTTAAAGAAACTGAGGACCTTATACACATGGTAGAAGTTTGGGGACTTACACAAGACAAGGGTATTTATAGAAACTGAGGACTTTATACACATGCAAAGTTTTTGGACTTACACAAGTTAAGGGTATTTATAGACACTGAGGACCTTATACACATGATAAAAGTTTAGGGACTTACACAAGATAAGGGTATTTATAGAAACTGAGGACCTTATACACATGGTAAAAGTTTGGGGACTTACACAAGATAAGGGTATATATAGAAACTGAGGACCTTATGCACATGATAAAAGTTTGGGGACTTACACAAGATAAAGGGTATTTAAAGAAACTGAGGACCTCTTACACATGGTAAAAGTTTGGGGACTTACACAAGATAAGGGTATTAAAAGAAACTGAGGACCTTATACACACAGTAAAAGTTTGAGGACTTACACAAGATAAAGGGTATTTAAAGAAACTGAGGACATTATACACACAGTAAAAGTTTGGGGATTTACACAAAATAAAGGGTATTTAAAGAAAGTGAGGACCTTAAACATAAGGTAAAAGTTTTGGGACTTACACAAGATAAGGTTATTTATAGAAACTGAGGGACTTATAAGCATGGTAAAAGTTTGGGGACTTACACAAGATATGGGTATTTATAGAAACTGAGGACTTACACAAGATAATGGTATTTATAGAAATTGAGGACCTTATACACATGATAAAAGTTAAGGGACTTAAATAACATAAGGGTATTTATAGAAACTGGGTACTTACACAAGATACAGGTATTTATAGAAACTGAGTACTTTATACACATAGTTAAAGTGATGCATAATAAATGTATAGAAACTGATCACCTTATACACATAATAAAAGTTTGGGAACTTACACATAATGGAAGTATAGAAACTAAGGACCTTACACACATTGTAAAAGTTTAGGGACTTACGCAAGACAAGGGTATTTATAGAAACTGAGGACTTTATACACATGCAAAGTTTTGGGATTTACACAAGATAAGGGTATTTATAGACACTGAGGACCTTATACACATGATAAAAGTTTAGGGACTTACACAAGATAAGGGTATTTATAGAAACTGAGGACCTTATACAAATGGTAAAAGTTTGGGGACTTACACATAATGAAAGTATAGAAACTGAGGACCTTATACACATGGTAAAAAATTGGGGACTTACACAAGATAAGGGTATTTAAAGAAACTGATGACCTGATACACATGGTAGAAGTTTGGGGACTTACACAAAATAAGGGTATGTATAGAAACTGAGGACCTTATACTCATGATAAAAGTTTGGGGGCTTACACAAGATAAGGGTATTTATAGAAACTGAGGACCTTATACACAATAGTAAAAGTTTGGGGACTTACACAAGATAAGGGTATTAATAGAAACTGGGGAACTGATACACATGGTAAAAGTTTGGGGACTTACACAAGACAAGGGTATTTATAGAAACTGAGGACTTTATACACATGCAAAGTTTGGGGACTTACACAAGATAGAGGTATTTATAGACACTGAGGACCTTATACACATGATAAAAGTTTAGGGACTTACACAAGATAAGGGTATTTATAGAAACTGAGGACTTTATACACATGGTAAAAGTTTGGGGACTTACACATAATGAAAGTATAGAAACTGAGGACCTTATACACATGGTAAAAGTTTGGGGACTTACACAAGATAAAGGGTATTTAAAGAAACTGAGGACCTTATACATATGGTAAAAGTTTGGGGACTTACACAAGATAAGGGTATGTATAGAAACTGAGGACTTTATACACATGATAAAAATTTGGGGGCTTACACAAGATAAGGGTATTTATAAAAACCGAGGACCTTATACACAATCGTAAAACTTTGGGGACTTACGCAAGATAAGGGTATTAATAGAAACTGAGGAACTGATACACATGGTAAAAGTTTGGGGGCTTACACAAGATAAGGGTATGTATAGAAGCCGAGGACCTTATACACATGGTAAAACTTTGGGGGCTTACACAAGATAAGGGTATTAATAGAAACTGAGGAACTGATACACATGGTAAAAATTTGGGGACTTACACAAGATAAGGGTATGTATAGAAACTGAGGACCTTATACACATGGTAAAAGTTTGGGGGCTTACACAAGATAAGGGTATTTATAGAAACCGAGGACCTTATACACAATGGTAAAACTCTGGGGACTTACACAAGATAATGGTATTTTTAGAAACTAAGGACCTGATACATATGGTAAAAGTTTGTAGACATAAACATTATAAAAAAGCAAGGTTAACTTAGGGTTTTTATGGCCCTTTGAATTGTGAGAAATCAAAACTACTCAGTTTTGGTATCATGTGCATTTACTTATCTTTTGGGCCTTTGGTGACTGTATCTATTAAAAATGATGTAAAGAGCTGGGTTCACTTTATCCATAAAATGGCCCTTCATACATACCAATTAACTGACAAAGTCCCAGGGTCCTATTTCAAACATCAATATAAAGGAAAGATTTTCCCCATATCCTGAAAATTCCTTCAACAACGGACAAAAGTTATAGCATTTTTCAAAAATATTTCATATAGAGTGCAATCTCTAATCCATGCAGAGGATATTAAATATATAAGGATCTGTTTCTGAAAAACATGTTTTTATATTTTGGGTTGAGGAGTAAGCTTGTATTTAGTTTTCTTTCAAATAAGCCTGTTTTCTGCAAAAGTTCAAGAACTTTGCAATTTTACAAAGCTTGTTTAATTTCCAATCTCAGGACTCTTTAAGAAACTTTGTTAAAGGAATGAAAGGCACTCTCAGCTTTATTTGGATGTTAGAAATGGGACAGAGGGTGATGGACAATTAACTGATATAAGGACAGGGCTATCTTATGCATAAAGTGAACCCTACTCTTTATATTCAATTCAACTCACTTAAAAATACATTTCACTGTAGATTTCATAAACAATACCATAGCGGATAAATAAAAAAAGAATTTCTGCATATAACTTTATTTGGAGACTTGATCAAACTTAATTGGGACATGCACATTTTTTTTCACTTTCAGAAAGGTCATGCGATACTTGAAAACATGTTCATGAAAAAAAAGGAAAAAATTTCCTTCTGCACAGAATATTTAATACATGTACTTCAAAATCATTTGCTACACACATCATGCAGTTTCTTCTGCACTCTTCAGTCATGCAAGTATCATGGTCCATGCAGGTTTCATAATGATAAAACTGCTGCAAACAATTTAACCCCCAATACTGCTAATTGTGGCTCCAAAACACAGTGTTTATCATTTTTCTCAAAAATATATCAATTGAAATTAGTGTGTAAATCAAGATTTTCTCAGTTTTTTTTTTTTTAAACTAGATAATATACTTGGTCTTTAACACTTATCTAAGTTCTTATTACATTTTTGTAATCTTTTCTGAAATGTTTTTTGATTAAAATCATTTCACATGATGTCCATGGGATTTTTTGTATCTTCTGTCACTTGCATGCAGAATCTTCCATTTCTGTTGTGGATCTGTGATCAGAAAGTGGCTTCCTTTTCCTTAAAATCAAATTTTCAGAATATAATTTTTCTTCTGTTTATACTTTTGTCTGTACAAAAATAAAGCAAATAGCTCTGAAAGTGGCTTATCATGACTGGCTAAGTATTTTGTGAAAAGTGAAGAACTTTTCGGCATCTGAAATACAATTTGGTAGGAGAATGATTGTTCACTAATATATATGTATTAAATAGGTACATTCATTATTTGAATGATCTGTGAACTTGCGTGCTTGGCTACTTAAATTTACATTCAGTTTTAGATCAATATTTTGTTCTATTTGAAATTTAATCTCACTCTTCCATCTCCATTCAGAAGACATCTGTGTGAAATGCGATGACTCTAATATTGGTAAAGTTCCACCAACGCAAATAACTTATTTCAGAATATACCTTGGTCTACCCTTGAATATATAACCACTCTTTTTGTCACTTATACTGAAGCTCTTCTGTTCATACTCAATATCCAGTATTGAGAACTACACATTTTTCATGCATGTAGACCACGCAGCACTGTTAAGGCATACTGTGAAGAAATCAATGGAAAATAGGCATGTACAAATAGATAACTTTTTAATGCTGATTTATTTCTGTAAAGCTATTATATTCCCAGAGGACTTAAAAATTAATAAAAATAATATTGTAGGCCTATACCCCACTCTATATTGAATCTAGTTTGGTAACCTTATTTGGAAGTCACGTGATAACTACATATAATGTGTACAACATGTAGGTCATACACAAATTTCAATATCGCAAGGGAATATCCTAGTTCCATTATAAAATCTAAGTTATAAATTATTTCTATATACCTTGTACTTTCTGAAAAGTTCTGCTGCTTTAGAATTTGCATTTTATAAGGAAAAATTTATTTTATGTAGCTCAAGTTGAAATATGTGTGACCTTTACAAAGTGTTTTATGCATTTATTAAATAATGCTCTTGATTTCGGGAAAGCAGCAGCACTGTTCAAGTTAAGGAAAATATCCTTTATTTACATTCGAAAAACGGTTAAGATCTATTAAGTGTATGCCCTTGCGAAAAAATGATTTAATTAGGCACCTCGATGTTAAACATAGGTCCGGAACCTTGTACATAAAAACACGGAAGAATTTATTAAATACATTTTCTGTATAATTATTGAATAATCGCACTAAACAAAGGTTTTACATTTGTATCACTTGCCTGTCTGAAATCTGTAAATAATATTCTGTTCAATAATAAAATACATTTTTCACTGTAAAAAAAATCTTCGTTCTGTCTCTCACAGCACATGAAATATGTCATTTTTACCAAAATGATGTCATGTCGACAAGTTCACTGCAATCAGTAATTTGTTAATAACCTGCTCTGTGGGATTTAACTAGCAACAAAAACTAATGCATTGGTAGTTTTCATGTTGTTTATTATGTTAAGGTAGTTTAAAATTGCAAATTATTTCATTTTCTGGTATTATGAGGAATAACTATTTTTGTGTGATGTCATAGTAAACTTTTCCCATAAAAATTAGGCCCCACCCCCTTTATGCAGCCTTAACAATGCTACGCATTCAGGGCTTCTGCTTATAATATCAAGAAAAGGAAGTTATTGCTTAAAGATGGGTAATGCAGTAATGTAGTGTGTATACAGTACCTGGAGTTAAAGTGTGGAAATCATGATTGTCTTGACTGTCATCCATTTCCTCCTCACTCTGATTCTCATCACCAACACAAGAAACATCACCATCGATTTCCTTTACTGCCTCTGAAAAAAATGCAACTTAATTGTAACAAGCATTCTGAGAGTATTGCATTAGCAATACTAGTCCCCTACCGGCAAGTGTAATCTGGTTTCCGTTAAAATTTGAAAATGCCATAATTTCGTCAAAAATCAATGAAGTGGAACGAAATGCATACTTGATCTATAACTCATCAAGGTAAAGTCACATACCAAAAATCAGCTCAATATCTGCAAGCGTTTAGAAGAAAATTGTGGAAAACCCTTAGAAATTGAAGAGGTCGTAATTCCGTCAAAAATCAATGAAGCAGAACAAAATGCAAACTTGACCTGTAACTCATCAAGATACACTCAATACCAAAAATCAGCTCAATATCTGCAAGCGTTTAGGAAAAAAGTGCGGAAAACCAAGTGTGACTGACTGACAGACAGACAGACGGACAGACAGACTCAGAGGAAACCTATAGTCCCCTCCGGTTTCACTGGTAGGGGACTAAAAACACAAACATTTCAACCAGAACAAGCATTCTGAGAGTTTTGCCATTGCAATGCTAGTCCCCTACCAGCAAGTGTAATCTGGTTCCCATTTAAAATTGAAAATGCCATAATTCCGTCAAAAAATCATAGTGCAAACTTAATCTATAATTCATCAAGTTAGACTCGCATACCAAAAAACATCTCAATATCTGCAAGCGTTTAGAAAAAAAGTGTGGTAAACCAAGTGGAACAGACTGATAGACATACATATGGACAGACAGAGAGATGTACAGAGACACGCACAGACACGGTGAAACCTATTGTCACCTCTGGTTTCACAGGTGGGGGACTAATAATAATTCTAATAGTTTTTGCAAAGATTAAAAAATGCTGTGGACATAATTCTACATTAAATCACAGTTATCAAAAGCATAAAAGGTATACAATTCATATTAAAATTTGAACTGGTGGAATAAATACTTGTACAGTTAGTCAGAAAAACAAGCCTATATCAAAGTGCTAGGGACAGACAATTTTGCTTTGTTAAAAACTTAAGGTAAATCATTATTCATGTATACATTGAGTTGTACAGTGTAATATGTTTAAAAAAAAAATAAAGAGAATAAAAATCACTTTGCTATTAGCAAAGCTAAAGCATGTTTTACTGTATATGTATAAGAAAATAATGATACCATATCACTTCTGCTGCCAGTCTAAACACTGTGTACTACCTTCTTTTGTTCATCATGACCTCATGTAAACAGAATATTTTAACAGAACCCCCCAGCATAACTTGTAAATAAAATGTCATCTTAAAAAATTATCAACAGTGTGTCTTTGTTAAAGCTACAATTTATGTGTTTGTGAAACACTGATGCCCCCGTAGGGCGAGGGTTGAAGTTTCTCAAATACATGTCAAACTCTAAGGTCAAGGTGAAAAGGTCAAACTGTTGGTATCCAAAGGAAGGTGTTGTCACAAGGAATACACCTGTGAAATATGAAAGCCCTTGTGCTAACCGTTGAAAATTATAGCCGAGGTTAAAGTTTTCAAAAAGTGGGTCAAACTCTAAGGTCAAGGTCAAAAGGTCAAAAATATTTATGCCCATTAAAAGGTCTTACCACAATGAATATACAAGTGAAGGATGAAAGCCCTAGCACAACCGTTCAAATGTTATTGCAAAGGTTAAAATTTGGTAATTTTTTGTGTAAGTGGGTCAAATTCCAAGGTCAAGAGGTCAAATTAAGTGATACCCAAAGAAAGGTATTGTCACAAGTGACCTGTGAAATATGAATGTCATAGTTCCATCTACTAAAAAAGTTATGGGCAAGGTTAAATTTTTGCAGACAAACAAGATCAATAAGCAGGGCAAAAACTATATACCCCTAATACTGACTAAGGGGTTAATTAATTCTTAAAAAGAAGATTCTATGACAGAAGCAATACCTGATGCCACTTTATTCCTAACCAACATTTTTCACTCCTAGAACCTTGAGCAGAGCAGATGCTTGACTGGGACCTACATGTAGGATATCAGTGTTATAGGCACCTGGGAAACCAGCATGATAACACTTTCATCAATGAGACTTTCAGGCTTCTCAAGAGATGTGATCGTGAACCAACCAAATTCATTTCCTAGTGAATTTTTAACACTAGCTGTTATTTATTTCTTAAATTCCTAAAAAATTTTTTACCTGTAACACACTAATGATGAGGCTTTCTGACATTCTCCTAGCCATGGAACCTGGTACATTTCCATCATTAGGTCTTGCATTAACTCATTCTCTAGCATTATTTGCTGAATCTGTTGATAAACAAACAATATTTACTGTTAACTTTTAACTTAAAAAATATGACACATAACAGGTGAATCTTGATGATTTCTACACAACCATTCTTAATGTAAATATTGAACAAACAAGAGGCCCATGGGCCATAATGCTCACCTGATTAACTATGGCCCTTCTGTTCTCCGTCAGCAGATTCTTTCTTCTATTTATTCTTGTGTAAAACTGATCACATATTATAGCCCCACCCTACCACAGGGGGTCATGATTTGAATACATGTAACCTTCAATCTACTCTACCTGAGAATGCTTCCATATAAATATGACTTCATATAAATTTTCCTCTTCTTAAGAAGAAGATTTTTAAAGACATTTTCCATATGTATTCCATTATAAAACTTTTACTGCCTATTGTGGTCCCACCTTAACCACCCCCCTCTCCCAAGGCATGATTTTAGCAAATTTGTGTCTACAATACCTTTAAAGTTTCTAAAAAAAAATATGAAATTATGGCTTTGTTGTTCTTGAGAAGAAGATTTTAAAAAAATATTTTCTATATATTCCAATGCATTACCCTGATCCCCTGTTGTGGCCCCATGCTAGTCCCGGAGGTTATGATTTAAACAAATTTGAATCTTCACTACCTGAGGATGCCTCTGTATAAAAAATGACTAATAATGGCTTTGCTGTTTTTAGGAGGAAGATTTTTGAGGATAATTCTACACATTCCTATGTAATTCTCTGATCCCTTCTTATGATCCCATCCTACCCCTGGGAGTCATGATTTGAACAAACTTTTAATAGAAGCTTTCACATAAATTTCATCGTTTCTGGTCAAGTGGTTATTGAGCAGAAAATTTTTAAAATTCAAATTTTCATGAGTTCCTTATTATCTCCCCTTGAAAGGGGGCATGGCACTTCCTCTAAACAATCTTAAATTCCTTTCACCCAAGAATGCTTTGAGGTAAGTTTGGTTGAAATTGGCCCAGTGGTTCTGAAGAAGAAGTTGAAAATGTAAAAATTAAGTTTACAGACAACATGACAGAAAGCTGCTGATCTGTAACTTGCTGGTTTGAAAAAATTGGGATAGACGACCAGAGAGCTACAGTGCCACCCATAGAAAAAAAGTGTATATTTATTGCACACAAAAAGTTGCGCTCGGTTCTGAATTAATTTCTCTAAATTTTTACCTCAACTGCACAAAACCTGGATTTCAAAATTTTCCTTAGACCTCTATCAGCTACTCTTGTAGTTGACATCTGCAAGAAGTGCATTGGACCGAATTACCTTGCCACCCAAGATGGCAGAATAAATAGACAAAATTTTCAATGGTTTCAATTTCAGGCCCAGGAGGGCTATTGATATGATTAACAATGGTTGTAAAGAATGTTTTGTTGTGGAAAAAGTGCAAAAATATGTTAGAAACACAGGGTTAATAGTATTTTTAGATTGCAGTTGATAACAGAGAAATAAATCGAGATTCTGCTTACTTTTTTTTTGGTGCAGTAAATATACACATTTTTTAATGGGTGGCACTGTAGCTCTCCAGTCTGACAATATACTTTTTTTTTTTGGAGAGATACAGTTCTGCAGCAACATGACAGACAGATGGACAGAAGGTTAACGGACAGCTAGATAGGCAGACATCGGACACTTTTTGATCAGAAAAGCTCACTTGAGTCTTCTGCTTGAGTGAGATAAAATCTCTTTTGGAAGATTGAATTATTTTATTATTACCTGGAAGGCTGTAAACAAATTTCCTTGCATCTTTTTTACTCATCATGGTTTGACAGCTTTGTAACTGTATTAAAAGATAATTCTCTAATTAAAAGCTGTTCTTTATTTCTTCAAGGGATCTCTGTATACCTAAATTGGAAAAGAAAAACTTCATAAAAGTCATAATTAAGCTTTGGCAATCAAGTATGAAAAGAAGAGGATGAAAATGATATTTTTACCCCGGAAGGTTTGACTACAACTTCTGAAGGTACTTTGGCAACACTATGCACTTGAATTCTTATGTTGCATTGTTAACCACCGAATTGTATAATATAGAGTATATCAATTGACATGTCTAATCTCTATGGTTCAGAGGAGGAAATACAGAAATCTTTTTAAAGTGTAGGCTATTAAAATTAGCATAAATTACTTTTCATTTTTTAATTTCTTTTCGTTTCTTTGAAAACAATATGCTTTAAAAGCTTATAACTACTACACCAAAAGAACGTTCACGGTAGCTCAGTTGGTAGAGCGCTCACTCTGTGATCAGGAGGTTGTGAGTTCGAATCTCAGCCGCGACTGACCTAAGTCGATAAAAAATGGGTAGCAACTGTTTCTTCGCCATGCACTCGGCACTTTGAAGTGAAAGTTGCGGGTTCTTCGGATGAGACCTTAAAAACCGAGGCCCCGTGTCACGGCAGGCGTTGGCACGATAAAGATCCCTCACTGTTCAATGGCCCCGAGTGCCGAGTAAAGGTCAAAATTGAAGCCCTTCACCGGTATATGGTGACATCTCTATATGAGTGAAAAATTCTCGAACGGGACGTAGAACAACATACATACATACTACACCAAAAAAAGCAATACAGGACATTAAATGTTGAATGATACAACAAATTCAGTTTGAAATATTTCATTACCTTAAAAATAAGCAAATATTTATGGTTGAGTTTAAATGTAGCACCTAATAATCCAGCTTTGATAATGCATGTAACTGTACTGTCTCCATGTTCAGGGGGGATTCCATGCATCTTCTGTTTGCCTCAAACATTCTAACAAAAAAATTTCATAAATTTAATTCTGAATTTATTTATTCATAGATTTGCTAACATTTTTGACCAATCAAAGTGCATGTTTTTAAAACGTGTCGTTTTAAATGTTAACATGCTAGATGCAGAGACACTAAGCTAATTTCTTAGTAAATAGTTGAGTATCTGTTGTTTAATATTTTTTTTCCACTTTTAAACATTTGTTAAGCTGATCAATTACAATTATAATGTGTTAAGTTACACTATGCATTATATCATGAGTGTTTATATTTGCTGGAGACAAGAACTAAAGTGTCAAAAATGTAGTAAATTCCAGATCTTTTGATAAAACGGCTCTTGATTTGAATAGCTTTCGGTCTCAGTTAACTAATACCTGACCAGGTCTGTATAGTAATGAGTAGACCTCATCAAAAGTCAATAATTGTACATGAATTCAATAATATTTATCTGGAAGATAACATGCAGGTGAATACTGTAAATGTATTCTATTTAGCGTGTACATGTACGATATTTGAGGGAAATTAACTTTTGAGCAAGTTAGCTTAGATTTGATTTAGCACATTTCTTAATGTTCTTAATCATGAATAATTATGTGCTGCAAGACATTTAGCATTGTACTTGAATTAACAGAAGATTCTTTCAGCCAAAGGCACTAAAAAAAATACACATCCAAATGTAATACGTCTACAGTATAACATTTTTTGATTTCTAAAATGTTGGCTATCAGACAATCAAAAACCTGAGAATTATTCAATCATAAAATGTTAATCATGCGACCGTTAGGGCAAGCGCAGATACTTTTTCAGTGTACTGTTTATCATTGTATTTAGGCCTGTCTCTATAAACCGCACGTGACATTTGGTGCGTGTAGACTCTGACGGCACATGATGTGGTATGTAAGTTTCGTTACCATTAAACTGAAGAAAGAACAGTGCTTATTTTAATGAAGAATGTTTATTGGCTATTTATCTGCAATATATCCAATAAATAAAGGTGAGTTTATTATTTGTTGAACTTTTTTTGTTATTCTTGTGAGAAGGTAATTTAACAAGCAATGCATTGTGGGTCCAGAAGTTACTGTGGAAAAAAAATTTGTTTGGATCAATGTGCAATGTCCAAATTTTCTCTTCACCCACGCGTTGTATTAAGAGCTCCCAGTGATGAGCGGGGCTTTGCGCTACTCCCTGTACTCGCAATGATTATTGTTATCATAACTGTTTACTTACAATTTACATCGAAAAGGGTCTCAGTTTGTAGGATTTAAAGGGAACAAACAAAAATATTCTTTAACAAATCCTCAATGATTATTGCACACAACTTGATGAAAAAGTCAATACTCTTAACTTAGCAGAACTCTTTTGCGGTGAAGGTAGGAAACGACTGTTGGATTGGGGCAAATGTGCTATTGAATACAATGCAAGATCGATCATTGTGGAATTTATAAGAAAGAAATCCTGGTGAAATATCTTGCTAAACATATGCTGAACCAGCCTAATAAATCTGAGAGAGGAGCTAATCCTCAAATTTTTACATTTTTAGCGATACTTTTCACTAAGTGGACTCTTCTCATGAAATTCTCATTGAAAATTGTTACTTTTTACAGTTCATAAAATACTTTAAACTTTCCTTATTTGACAAAATAGCTACTATTTCGAGTTCAATCCTTGGCAATACATTGTACTTTCTGCATACTCATCACTGCTTATTGTTCAAATCATTTGATTGTCACTGCTGTAAACAATGTTATGCCCCAGAAATCTTGCAAGATTTAGAGCTTCCTCGACTCCCCCACAAAAGAGCAGTAGTAAGTAAGATAACTGCAAGGTACTCGTGATTCTATGTATTGTTCTGTTAGTTCAATATTCGATATTGGTATACCGACCTTACAAATTTATTACCAGTCTTACAGAAAACAGAAAACTGTTATAATTAATGTACAATGTGGAAACCTAATTTCTCCAACCAAAATATTGCCTAACTTAACCCAAATATTAATCTATTGTGATGGTTTGAAGTGTATTTATTATGTGTGTATATATTTATTTATCTGTACGTGACATATTTCATTCATATTTCCCCTATTTGTCTTAACTTGTTATATGGAGTTACATGTATTCCCCTTTGTTTATAACCCGTCCGGATTAGGCACGCCCAGGTCTATAGTACCCGGCCGGGATTTATCATATTATACATGCATTTGTGTATAATCAGCAGCAGTCGATATTATTATTGATTATCGATTAGACATATTTCGAGGATCGAGGCTAAATTTATATCTACAATAATGGTAATTATCACATTCTTTGATCGTAGGTGATATTGTTTCATATGTTTTACGTTTGATTTACATGATTGTTATTTTAACAGAATATAGAATCTAATTCTTCAGTCTTTAAACACTGAAATTCTTGTTTTCTTTCATCCTTCCGAACTCGGATTATGTATGGGACTGACCCCTAGACAGTCATGTTACATTATAAAAGCAATATAAACAGACAAACGAGAAAATGATTCCAGTATATGAAGAGTGTAGCTAGCAAAGTCAGCTGTCTCCCTCCCTGATGATCTGATAGCTAGCTGTATAGCTTTATATGGAAATGAGAACAAAAGGAACTGTCAAAGAACTTACTAGACAAAAGTGGGCGTTTCCACATATAAGATAAATAATTTATATCGGGATCGAAATGAAAAGATTTAAGAAAACGTAAATAAACTACATCTGCCACAATACATGTCAAATGTCTGATTGAAAAGATTAGGATACAAAAATTAAATACATTGCACCCGGCCTGCTTTAAAAAGAATCATATCATATGATATGCAATTATAATGAACTTTGCAGAACTTAATTTAAAAATTGTTCGTATATAAACAAACACACCAAACATGCTAAACAGCTGAAATAAGAAACATAGGCAATTCGGAAAGTCTTATCTGTCGTAATAACAGATATAAAACATTCGACAAGAAATTGCGCAGATGTAGTGTGTCTTTAGAAAGACTTCAAGTCTGCAGAACATAATTACAAATTCATTTCAAGGAATCAAACAAGGATGCGATTTTTTCTTGCCCAAAATTATGCCTTACCTGAGTAAGCTGTTTACATCGGATGTGTATAATGCCCCTATAGTACAATGTCCTGACTGATTGTAATAAATAGTTTTTAGGTGCACAAACAATATCATTTTTATTGGAAATAATAATAAAATTATTATTCTCTATAAGAATCATGGCGATATGCAAAATAAAATATATAAAATTTTTATTGGACATAATAAAAATGACAGGAGTACATGTATAATGTCCTGATTTGGGGTATAATGACCTGATTTGATATGTCCTTCATAACAATTTAAATTGGTATTTATATTTATATTCTGTTTTTTTTTTCATAAGATTTTTTAAGATTGAAATTAATGTGTTCACATAAAAATTGGGATAAATATAAATTTATTCTTGGGAATTTCATTTTTCATCTTTTTGTACTGGATGTCAGTTGAGATATATAAGGCTCACAATTTGGAGAAAATGACAAATAAGGCTGGTTTGACAGTGAAAATGTGATAAATGTTTACTTTATCATTAATAAATTTTGTACAAGATGTTTTCATCCATATTATCTTTTTGAATAAAAATTTTTATTCCTAACACATGACCTTAGAGAGACCATGCAATGTGATTTTTTAAGGAATGCTGTAAAATGATAATAATTAAGAAAAAATGTGGAAAACATAATTGTCACTTAATGAATTGAACTGTCATATCAGTAATGTGGTAGCTTTTTTAATCAATGGATGCTTCACCCTGAGTTTCTTTTATATATATAAACAATTATGAAAACAATAACTTAATATTCAATTATTTTGCTCTTTAACACTAGATAATAAGTGCATTTTGAGTAACATTGAGGTAGGTCATTATTGTATTAAGTAAATCCCTTTTGCTATATGTCTAATGCCCTGTTAACACAGAGAGTTTAATTCGCAGTAAATTAATGCGAAGTGAAATAATGTGAATTAAAATAATGCGAATAAGAATGCATTCGGATAACAGCAAAAGCGAAGTAAGCTGATGCGAATTAAAATTTTGTTTCTAGGCTATGATAGCTTTTCAGTAAGGCTATTATGACATCATTTGTAAATCATGTCATGTATGCAGAGCAGATCATTTGACATAACATATATAATCATAGTGACTGTATACATTTTAGTGATTTACACTACTTTCCTTTTTTTTCAACCAAAAATAGCACAGATACATAAATCTAACCACCGACATGTGGCCTTTCAATTGACTTAATTCTGGCCTACGCATGCGTCAAAATTTAATTTGAATTAGCTTCGCTTAGGGTTCACATGGAGCTAATGCAATGTAATTTAATGCGCAGTAAATTAATTCGAATTAAACTAATTCACACTAAATTCTCCATGTGAATGCGCTTCAAATTTAATTTGCAGTAACTTGTGTTTAATTCAAATCAAACTCTCCTTGTGAACAGGGCATCATTATATGCCCTGTTCACATGGAGAGTTTAATTCAAATTAAACGCAAGTTAATTTACTGCACATTAAATTACTTCGCATTAGCTCTGCGTGAACGCTTCAAGCTAATCTAATTCGAATTAAATTTTGATGCATGTGTTTGTATGTTGTTTAACGTTCCTCTTGAGAATTTTTCACTCATATGGAGACACCGCATGGTGCAGTGGTTAGAGCGTCTGCTCTAGAGTCGCGAAGTAAGGAGTTGATCCTTACGTTGTGGGTTTGAATCCCACTGTGGGACGTGGAGACCGGTCCTTCGGCTGAGACTGTATAGACCGAGGTCCCGTGTCGCAGTAGGTGCTGGCATGAAAAAGATCCCTCACTGCTCAATGGCCGTAAGTGCCGAGTATAGGACAAAATTTCCAGCTCCCCACTGGCAAGTGGCGGCGTCTCCATATGAGTGAAAAATTCTTGAGAGGGATGTTAAACAACATACAAACAAACAAACATATGGAGACACCACCACTTGCTGGTGGAGAGCTGTGAATTTTGTAATATACTCGGTACTTACGGTACTTACTACTGTGTCACGGGACCTCGGTTTATAAGGTCTCATCCGAAGGACCGGTCTCCATGTCCCACAGTTGGATTCGAACCCACGACGTAAGGATCAACTCCTTACTCCATGACTCTAGAGCAGAAGCCACGTGGGCGACTTGATGCATCACAGTGTAATGGCAAATGTAAGGTAAATGCACATGTGGGTGGTCAGCTATTATAGATACTTGTGCTATTTTTTAGTGAAAAACAAAGGAAAATTATGTGAATGAAATGTGTACAGGTATTAGCCTATTACATTCTGTCAAATGGATCTTCTTTGCATAAGGTGACATGATTTGAAAATAATGTCATAATAGTCTGACTGAATAGCCTTACTTGTAGAAATTAAATTTTAATTTGCATAAGTTTAGTTCGCATTAGCTGTCATTTGAATGCAATTTAATTTGCATTAGTTTAACTGTATTAGTTTAATTCGCATTATTTTGCTGCAAATAAAACTTTCCATGTGAACAGGGCATTAGAGCAGATCAGAATATATTCAAGCTGGCTCCACGAATATCCTCCTTAAGGCTTTAAGCTAAATTTAATGAGTTATGAAACCATTAATATTCAATTGAAAACAAATGAAATGATGTCTATATATTATAGGCATAAGTTAAATTTATAATCATATTATATTCTAAGCATAACACGAAATAAGAGGAAGTAATAGATTGCAGCTCTCAAGAAGAAGGGGGGGTGTTTACAATCAGATCTCACTTTTGGCTAAAAAATAAAAAAACAAACAAAAAACAAAAACAAAAAAAACCCAAAAAAATAGGTTGCTGAGCTAAAGAAGAAGGGGGGTGGGGGTGGGGGGTGATGGTTACAATCCGATCTCACGTTTGGCTAAAAAATTAAGTAAGAGGTTACAGATTTCAAGAAGAAAGGGGGGGGTTACAATCTGATCTCACTATTGGCTAAAAAAGCATATATGTGAACTACGTTTCCAAAATCTCCAATTAACACGGACCAAATTTAGCTAAGTTGAGTCTTACAAAAATAAGTGAAGTTCATTTCATGTTGAAATGACACACACAACACATTCGATTATACCTTTCATTTGATGAATTTTAAATCATTGTGAAATGAATAGCATACATTGTGTACTATTCCAAGAAAGAAAATTATCACATAAATACGAACTGTCTTTTCATTTCAACAGAGTACCCGATATGCAGCAATCGTCACTGACCCCCCCCCCCCCTTACACCTTGATGTAAGTTTCTATACACCATATTTCATCGAACAAGTAATAAAACATACCGTTTTCCAGCGTTTCTTTAACATAGAATCCATCCTCATCAAAAGAATCTAGGTTTCTTTGCCCAGGCTTTCCTCTGCGTCTTTTTTTCGACATGTTTATTATATCCCGCTTCAAAACAATTGGACTTCCGCTCTCTTTACACACGCGCATGCGCATTCTAGATGTGTGTAACGTCAGAGGTGTGTAAGTGAAGATGGCAACTTCAATCCGCACGATATCTGTGTAATCATGTGTTTGATGAAACCCCGAAACTGGGACACGTTATTTTTTTTACTTTTTTAGGATTAAGACATGTCAATTTTTCGTTTTAAACGATAAAAAAGTTTGGGGACTTGATTCAAGTCCCCAATGTTTTTTATGTCCCCAATTTACGACTTGCGTATCTGTCGAAGGTCCCCAATATGGCCTTCCCACACACACCCTCACACACACACACACACACACACACACACACACACACACACACACACACAAAACAACATTTTTTTATCAACAACAGCTCTAAATGAAAAAGTGGAGCATTGGGTTGGGTTTTTTTTCTTAAATATTTCTGGCTTAACTACAAGAAAAACTCTCAGGTATAATACAAGAAACTTGGAAATGCTCCCAAAAAATAATGCCATTAGCTGGATATTTTAAAAAAATTCATAAATTAAAGCAAAGTACGAAAGCCTAGAAGCGTCAAATAAGCAATATGAAAAAAATGATAAAAGTAGTAATAACGACTTTTTATCTCGTAATTACTTTTTTATCTCGTTAGTACGACTTAATGAAGTCGTAATAACGACTTTTATCTCGTAATTACAACTTTCTTAAGTCGTACTAACGACTTTTTATCTCGTTATTACAACTTTCTCAAGTCGTAATAACGACTTTTTATCTCACAATAACGACGTTTTATCTCGTTATTACGATTTAATTAAGTCGTAATAACGACTTTTTATCTTGTAATTATGACTTCAGTAAGTCGTAATAACGACTTTTTATTGCGTTTTCCTTACTTGACCTTTCCATATTACGGATATATAACTACGGAAACGTGTTTCCGTATATAACCGCCTCGTGTCGTTGTGTTTTACCTCAAAATGACAAAATAAAATCAGTGTCATCTGCCAATAAAATGTATATAACGTCATAATTTTATCGAGTTGTACGAGGAGATCAGAAAATTACGATAATCTTTGATGATTTAACTGCCCTGTTAAATTTTGTTGACTTTGACCAAAGTATGATAATTTTTTGCGTAATAGCAATGTTGTTGCGATGTTGTTGCAATTAATAAAATGTATAGCAATATTCTCCCAGTTTTATATAATGAGAATAAATAATGTCGATATGGTTCCATTTATTAGGTTTTCACGTCGATATTTTGACAGTTCTTGTTGTTATCTTAAGTTTGAACAACAATTTAACTGTATTGAAAAAAAAATCATAGCTGAAATTGATCTCTCTTTTTGTGCGTATCACTCGTATCAACAGCGAGGCAATTAAAAATGAACTGCAAATCAAACGATTCAATACTTTATAGTATATTGATAAATCTATGTCAATTTTGCTTGAATGAGTGTTACAAGTAGTTCAAAGGATAACTTAATTTCTCTGATTTAAATAAGTTGCCTACATGAAGTGGTCACGTAGGCGTCGGAACCGGGAGGGGGCTTAGCCCCCCTTTTGCAAAGATAAACATAATATAGGCATTGAAAATTGGGACTTAGCCCCCAAACTTTTTTTTTTTTTGGTTGGTTGGTTTAGCCCCCCCCCCCCCGTTTCAAATTTGCTTCCGACGCTTGTGTGTCATATATAATACGTTGAAATAATGTCTGCGATGCGTAGCAGTAATGTCTGCGATATTCAATTTAGCGGTATAATTTATATGAATTATTTAAAAGCGACATTGATAAATTGGACTTTGATAGATTAAAGTGTGTAAGTCGTCCAAAACACGTCAAAAAAGTGTCCTTCCTTAGAGATTGCTGTCATAGATAAATTTGCAAACTTCGAAGCAACCGTTTTGGACAATATTATAAAAAAAATATCGCGCTCCAACTCAACAACACGAGACCAGTATACGTTTCCGTATTTCTACGCTTTCGTTACCTAAAAGGATCAAATTAGGAAAATGTTCAAAATGAAAAAAAAAATAAACAAAAAGTCGTAATAACGAGATAAAAAGTCGTAATAACGAGATAAAAAGTCCATATTTAAGGAATAACTGTCTTATTTTTTGGATTCATGATGTGATCAATCGAGTGGCTTGCGTGATAATTTGCATAAACGCCGAAGGCGTTTATGCATAAAATTATCACGCAAGTCAATCGATTGATCATCGTCATGAATCCAAAAGATAAGACAGTTATTCCTTATATTTACATGCTCCTGATTCTGCAAATCCCCGTGCTAATAGCCCCGCTTCTCCCTCTATTTGTCCCGCCCCGCACGTGATTTTTTTTAACCGCGCCTATCGATGAACCAGTAGATTTGTGTAGAAATAAAGTGTTTTTACAATTTGTAATTTTATCTCGGACAAAGACATTGGAAATGTAAATATTACGAGATAAAAAGTCGTTATTACGACATAAAAAGTCGTTATTACGACTTTATTAAGTCGTACATGTAATTACGAGATAAAAAATCGTTATTACGACTTTTTAAAATCGTAATAACGAGATAAAAAGTCGTTATTTCACTTAGGAAAGTCGAAGCAACGAGATAAAAAGTCGTAATTACGAAATAAAAAGTCGTTATTACGACTTTTATTATTTTTTTCATTTTCCTTATTTGACCCTTCTAGGCTTTCGTAGCAAAGCATAGTTAAATGTAAAAATATAATTTTCAGTGTTGTCAAATATAGAATATAAATTAACAATATATCTTACCGTTACCGTTAAATAAAAAATGATTGTCTTTTATATATTATTTGAGAAGAGACTGTTAACAAACTACAATCGTTACAGTTGGTGTGATTTTGAATGCAAGGGTTTGTGGAGAGGACCCCCCGTCCCCTCCTTTCCCTAAATATACACCCTGGACTCAGGAATGTTTCATATATATGTTTTGTTTCATAAATTATTTTTCCAAGCTCTAACTCATATACACAACCTATTCAATATGAAAAATTTCTTAAGTATAATGAACACTAAGTGGTTTGTTAAAAATCATATACCAGTATACTTGTGATATTAAAAAAGAGCATCTCTTTATTACTTAATTAAAGCAATAACATTGCAAACTATAGGTATCACATTTACCCTTGTATAAAAAACGGGGTTAAAAATTCTTATCTTTCACAGATTCCACAGAGTTATTGCCAAGCTTCTGGGGAGGTTTTTATACCTGCCCTGGTGGATCATCACAGATATTTCAAATGAATGTGATCCCAAGAAATAAAGATGAAATATCAACCTCAGCTGTATTGACTTTTGATGGAATCTCAGTCACAGCCAGTGGGAGTTATGGTTATAGAACACTGCTCATACAAGGCAGACCAAATCAAAAGAATATAACTAATGTTAAACTTTATAGTGTACAGCCACCATCAAATTTGTCTTCAATGGCAGGAGAGATAACATTCAATGGAGATAAGAAATGTGGTGTAGTTTTGAATTTTAAAAAATGTGAGTCATTTACATTAAAATACATATATCAATTTATACAATTTCTTTAATTTTTTTGTGACAGATATTTAATATCATTTTGTATAAATAGTTAAGTCTGAACTTGTTTGAAGTTGATTGTTTTGAAATCGTACATTTAGTTCGTTTGACCTTAAAGTCAAGATCTAGTAAATGAAAGGTGCCTTCAGATTTCTCAAATTTGAGAAAAAAGTTCTTTCAATGATCCTTTAAAATATAGTTTGGCGAAATTAGGTGTATCGGGGCATAATTTTTATGTAAACTCAACGAAAAAAGATATTTTAAACTGTTATTTTCAATGAAAAATGAAGGAACTCAGGAATATATATGGGATTTTTTTCCTTCTCAGAAAAAGAAAATGTATCAATATTGCCTACAGTCTCTCAGAAAACAGTTTTTCATATCTTCTTGACCTCTTCTTTAAAATGATATTAATTTGAATATAGGTATCGGGGTTAATTTTGACATGATTTCAAATTGAATTCCATTAAAATGTTTCATTTTCTACATAATTCAATAATAGCTGTAAAGTACGGGAAAAATTAAGTTTAAATCAATTATGACGTCATAATGGATCTAGCACAAAAAAGACAGTCTAAACTCATTTAGTAGATCTTGACCTCAATATGAACATGTGTATTTACGTTTATCATACTATTTTTCAATTTTCCGGAATAAAAGTGTAGACACAAAATGATTGAACTCTTTTGTCTGTCTTGATTGTAAATGAACTCTTTTGTCTGTCTTGATTGTAAATTGCTTAATATCTAGAACATAATTTTTTTTTTTAAACACATGCCTCAATGCATCATTGAATACTAAATTTCAGCTTATTTGAACCAATGTGGATCTGGAACCTGTGTGAGATATGGTCAAAAGAAGAATGAATTCTACTGTTGTTGTGATGGCAAAGGTAAAACAAACACAAGATGTGTTCGAGAAACACAAACGATCATGAGTGTCGCTAGGGCGTAAATGAATCAGCATATACAATTTCCTTTTATCACAATAAATATTTTTTTTATATCAGTATCTTTTACGTATGCATGTACATGTATATATCTTTCAACACTTTACCAAATGTAGGTGCATTCTGATAGGGTAAAATTAAGTTTTGACACTTTGATTATTTTAATTTTCAGCTAGTTCTTACTGTGGACCTACAACAAACATGGGTCAGTCATCAAGTAGTACATCCAGTACTACAAAAGAGATATCAACAACCACAGAAATGAACCAGAGGCCAAGAACACATTTAACAACCACTACTACAAAAACAACATTTACAACTATGAGACACACACCACCAAAAACAACAATAACCACCACTACACAACCCACATCACCTAGAACAACAACAACAACCACTAAACAACGTACCTCACCAGAAACAACAACAGCCGCTACACAACCCACATCACCTAGAACAACAACAACCACTACACAACGTACCTCCCCAGAAACAACAACATCCGCTACACAACCCACATCACCTAGAACAACAACTACTACACAACGTACCTCACCAGAAACAACAACAGCCGCTACACAACTAACATCACGAAGATCAACAACAACTTCACAATCAGTGACAACAAAATCAACTTCCACTCTACAACCCATAGCATCAGGAATACTAACAAAAACACAGACAACTACAGTAACTACAGACCAGGCAACCACAGCATCTACAAACACAAAAGCTACCACCAGAAAAACAGAACCAACCAGCATCACCACTGCCGTGGCACAAAATCCCGGAATAACAATAAATCTTCAGCCGATCTTATCCAAGCTGCAAGAATGTGACTTGTATGGTCGACTTTATGCAATACTTCTTTTCAATACCAAAAACAAATAATCTTGAGATCGAGACTAAAAAGCAAATCTGTTTTCAAGTTTTTTTTTTAATTATCTGGAATTTGTAGATCGTTTAAGCTATATCTTTTGTTTATATTCAATAAAGTAAATTTTTATTTCATAGACTGTTTTATGGTATAGATCTTTGATGAACATATTGAGTATCTCCTCTGTGTAGATCATAGCATATCAAATTGAACTAGACAAAAATAATTGTCTCTCTTAGGAATTTACCTCAGGCTGGTAACTTCCGAAATGGTGATTCAGAAGTGTTTTTGCATTTAAGGTTTTAAGTTTATTTGATATGGAAACGAAATACTTCATACTTTTGATTAACATCTGAAATCAAACATTTATTATATTTATTGCGAAAGTTTCAACTTTTAAAGAGACGCCGTGACGGAAAAACGGGAAAATTGACAAAAGTAGAATTTTTGCAAGACACATGCAAATTTTATTCAATTCTTGAAAGTACTAGGTTTCAGAAAATTACAGGTTTCAGAACCTAAAAAATCTATTTTATGGATAAAAATATAAATAAAAATAATTTTAGTTTCTCCAAACACGGAAATCTTCCTCTTTAAGGTAAGCATGCGCAGAAAAGTTGAAGAAGTTACCATGGTGTCAATTCCATAAATATAAATGTTGGATGACCGAGTATTTTGATATAATCTTCATAAAAGATGAATAGAACTTACTCATTACTTTTGATTGTTAAAATTCAATGTTGTTTACAAGTTTCACGCTAAAAATAAAAGACACATGACCTTGACATTGTTGACATTGAGGATAAGAACCACGCCATAGATACAGTTTTTCTTTTACCGGTGTAACGACGAAAAGTGACCCCCGTAGAATATTGACAGGGGATCATTTTTCCACGTAGAAATTTGACCCCCCTGTTCAATATTCTACGTAGAAAAATGACCCACGTTTTCGTAGAAATTATGGCCTTTGGGTCATTTTTTTCCGTGTGGATTGTAGAAAATGACACCGTAGAATAATGACCCTCTGTCATTTTTTGATAAAATATGGTTTTGTAAAGAAATTTTTTGTTAGGCAAATACATAGGGGTCATTAAAATCACAAAGTCTTATGATATGAAGTGTTCATTTCTAATAGCTTTAAAGTTTAAATAACAAAATTAAAAGGTATTATTATACTTAACTTAAATAATACAAGGTGATTTATCCCAATTAAAAGAAAACATAACAAGGCTATAATGATGTTCTTTGACTATTAGAACATTGATTTGTTTTATCACATTTAAGGTTTTCCATTTCTAATAGGACCAAATTCTCTATCCTTAAATGTTCATCATATACATAATACTTTGATATTAATTTAACTTTGAAGTCTATGGGGACAAGAATTTTTTTTAAAAATTCAAATAATAATTTAATATCAATAAATATTGTGGTAGAAAGATGCATTAAACATTAGAAATAGAATGACAATTGAAAACGTTTTTTTTTTACCAGATGAGTTTTAAAGATTAATTTTTTTTTTATTAATTAAAAACAGATAACTCTTACCAAAATTCAAGATCATAAATTAGGACACATCCCACCCTTCCATGCTTATAGTAATAAATGGGAATTATTTCTAAATATACTGAGTATTCAACACCTACACATTTGATATGTATTCAATTTCAATGAATCTTTTGCTATTAGGGATGGAATACCTTTATAATAATACCTTAAAAATTTTCAGTTTACACAGTTTTGATTATCTAAATGTGCAAAAAATCAAAATAAAGTCTTCTTTCTTCTTCATAAGTTATAAGAAAGATTAACGTTTTAAAACTCTTCCCAATTAAATATGTTTTAAAAGGGGCGATTGTTAAGAAAATTTGATCTCATAATTATCTTTCAATTTCTATGAATGAAGTCTCAAACTTCTGATAAAAATATACTGAAGAAAAAATCAAAATAAAGTCTTCTTTCTTCTTCATAAGTTATAAGAAAGATTAACGTTTTAAAACTCTTCCCAATTAAATATGTTTTAAAAGGGGCGATTGTTAAGAAAATTTGATCTCATAATTATCTTTCAATTTCTATGAATGAAGTCTCAAACTTCTGATAAAAATATACTGAAGAAAAAATCAAAATAAAGTCTTCTTTCTTCTTCATAAGTTATAAGAAAGATTAACGTTTTAAAACTCTTCCCAATTAAATATGTTTTAAAAGGGGCGATTGTTAAGAAAATTTGATCTCATAATTATCTTTCAATTTCTATGAATGAAGTCTCAAACTTCTGATAAAAATATACTGAAGATTAAATATGTGAAATATATAAATGTTAAAAATATCACACAAGACTGAATTAATATGCCTCTGAATTCGATATCAGGGGCACAAAAGGTGATTAGCTTTTTCTTTACAAGTGTCTTTTGTTTGTTAGTGTCAACAAAGGCTTTTTACATTAAAAAAGAGGTGTTTAACAGAAGTCTATACACGGTAATATCATCATATATCCCTCTCCCTCCAACTCTCCCCTGTCTCTCTGACTTCCTCTCTCCCTCTCTCTCTTACCCTCTATCTACTCTTTCTCTCCCCACTCTCACTTTCTCCCCCTGTCTCTCATTCTCCCCCTCTCTCTCATTCTCTCTCTCCCCCACTCCCCACTCTGTCTCCCTACTCTGTCTCTCTTCACTCCCCCACTCTCATTCCCCCTACTCTCTCCCACACTCACTCCCCCTCTCTTTCTCCCTCCCTCTCTCTCTCTCTCTCCCCATTCTCACTCCAGTTTCTTCCTCTCTCTTTATTTTTTTTTGACCGTCTGACTCATTTATTATCAGGCCTTGTGAAAAAAAACTAATATATATGCATAATACATAGATGTTTCAAAGTTATTTACAGTAAAATTAATGGAAAAAATACTTATTCCAGAATAAAGACATAAATCTTACAGTTATTATAAAAAAAATTATAAAATGTTTATTCTTGATCTTTTTACTTTAAATTGGATTTGGCAAATTTGTTTATTTTTGCAAAAAATGAATGTAATTTAAAATTATAAGGGCGATAACTTCAAACAACAGAAAATACTGCTTCCCTGTTCACAATTTGTTCATTGCGTTATATGTTTGCGCATTTGATTTTATATGCTCGGAAAACAATATTTATTTGCTTACTAACATGCAAGGAACATATGTCAGCTTGAAATCTAAGTTGGATATTATTTGTTGTACCGTTATGAAAAATAGATGTGCGGCATATGCCCTAAATTATCCACATGCAGAGAGGAGGTCTATAAATATCCTTTATTTGACCTAGTATGTAATAAGGGTTTGACATTCACTATCCTCTTCCCTTGTATGCTTTCAGTTTACTATATTTTCATAATTTTTATCTTGTTCAGACATCGTGTCGTTGCTTTCAATGTTAACCAAAATGCACTTGCATCATGACTCACTCGTTGTTCTACGCATTACCCGGCATTTCATATTTTCTTATTGCAAATAAACGTTCGTTTTGGTGTTTGTTCAAATACGTACTCTTAATAAAACTATGTATAATCTTTACTTGTTGCATGGTTCTACTCTGCTAACCAAAGATTTCTACTAAACGGTTTTGAATGGACAGTGTTAAATGATTAACCGTTAGGCTATCAACGTAATTTGAGTAAATGTTCACCTTATTACAGGTCCTAGCAAAGCTTCTGGGAAAATTAAAATCATTCACTTAAGTAATAGAGCCATTCAAACAAGAAAAGAAAGTCAAGCAAATTGTGGGCTTAAAAAAATGTTTCAAAGTTGCCCCTGTCGCGCATAGGAATCCTCCTCAATCTACATGTACTGTACATAACATTATAAAGTTTATAATTTGTAAATCACTTGAAGTAAGCATTTAATTCTAAGTCTGAAGGAAGAATTTAAGAAGGAATGCCACACCAATTTTTTTTCCATAGATCTTTAAGACATCCCCTTTATTAGACATTCATATTATGCATTTATTAATAGCAAATTTTAAACCATAAAGCATTTTTGATTTGAACGTATTTTGTTGTCTATTAACTTTACAAATGGGATTGGGCAAAAGTTCTAAAAACTTAATACGCCCTTTCCCTACATATAAATTATATATATGGGTTTCAGCTTAAAATGAATAAACACAGAAAAGCATAATAATCAGAGGAACAATATTCAATGTAATATATAATACACAAGCTGTATAGAATTCGTAAAAAGTAATAATTGTATCAACCAAAACAACCTGACTTTTTAATAAATTTTTGTACAATGGAAAAAAGGTATTCATTTTCAACATCGTTTAACGTTTCATCTCCCCACAGTAAAGTGTGAGTATCAACAGTATATAATTTTCCCATTCGCAGAAATGTGTCAAAAAATTCTTTTCTGGCCTCTGTATATTTTTTGCATGAAAAGAAATAATGATGAATATCCTCCACTCTTCCACAAGAACATAGGGGACTCAAAATTACGTTATATCGAAAAAGATCGCTATTAAGCACACAGTTGTGTCGAAGCCTTGTATGTAATATATTTAAGCCTCGAATTCCGTAACTTAAATAAAAGGGTGGCGTAGGTTTATTGTAAGAAATGGACTTTTTAAAGATAAACAATGAGGAAGACTTTCTTACAATTAGAGGTAATGAGTTCAATTCGTCAATAACGGGTGAAAGTTGACATATGTTTGCAATCTGCATTTAGGTATGTTATAGTTATATGAATTTCTCGTACTATAACTTGATGAATTACAACCCAAATTTGGGATTATATCAGTTAGATATTCAGGAACTTGGTTATTATAAATTTAATATATTGTAGTTAATCTAGTATTTTTTTCTTTTTTCATGTAATGGTTCCCATCCAGTTTCAAAGTATAGTGCATCTTTAGAAGCTAATAGAGTTAAGAGTTAATTTTTCGCTATCGCCTACATTATATCCACCCCACACCAAGGAAGCATATTCTAATTGGGGTCTAAGAAAGGTTGTGTACATGAGTGAAAGAGTTTTCCGATTTACAACAAATT